GGGGGAGACCTGGGCTAAAAGAGTGCAAGTGGGTGGCAGAGCCATGTCTTCTCTCCCATAGGTGCTGGGACGACTACGCCAGCTTGTACTGGTGGGTGATCAAGGCTCCCATCCTCCTGGCCATATTTGTGAGTATGTCCCCCGAGCATCCCAGCCCTAGAGCCGGGGGTCCCATATGGACACGGGGAACCCAACCAGGAGTCTGTGCAGAGCCTGAGACATGGCTTAGGTGAACTTCCTCATCTTCCTCAATGTCACCAGGATGTTAGCGCAGAAGATCCGATCTCCGGACATCAGCAAAAACTACAAGCAGCAGTACATGTAAGGGCTAGCTCGCACACGGGGGAGCTCCCCTTACCCCAGTTTCTAAGGGACCTGGGGCAGCAGGAACCCTTCCCTGGAGGAGCACAGAGAAGGACCATCCTTGGAGCCTCCAAGACCTGCCTTTCACGGAAAACCTGCTTTGGGTTAAGACCAAGCTCTGGGGAGGGGCTTGTCTTGTGGGACAGCAGAACCATTGCGTAGACCCAGGCCCCCACTCACACCACCACTCTCCGCAGGAGGCTGACGAAGTCCACGCTGCTCCTCATCCCTCTCTTCGGGGTGCACTACGTGGTGTTCGCGCTCTTCCCCGAGCACATCGGTGTGGATGCCCGGCTGTACTTCGAGCTGGTCCTTGGCTCTTACCAGGTGCAGACTGGGGGAGATGGGTAGGCAACGTCCCCACGGACCCGTCCTGTCCCACCCCAAGATCACACCAGAAGCCCCTGGGATGTGCTGCTGGGGCTTTGCACTCTTTCGGGAGAGAACTGTGTCCCAGGCACCCCTCAAACACCAGGGACGAAGCACAAGGGTTGTGGTCCAGTGGGCAACCCCTGCTGCCCGTGGGGTGGGGTGCGAGGTGTGGGAGGATGCTAAATGCAGGCAGCAGATGAGCGCGGAGGGGCCCAGCCTCTTTTCTTGGGAGAAACTTGCTCTTTCTGTCCTTTTCAGGGGCTCCTGGTGTCTCTGCTCTACTGCTTCCCCCAGCCACACGTGGGCATGCAAACAGCCCCAGGGCACCCCGAGGAGCACGGCACACACACAACCACGGCCGTGGGCACACGTGGGCACGCGGGCGTGCGAGGGGGGCCGCGCGCTCTTGCACCCCGCATCCCCTGCTGAGCCCGGGGCGCAGCTGCCGCCCCTCCGTGGGGTGCTGGCGGGTGCCCCTGGGTGCCAGCGCCGGTCCGTCGTGTTGGTTCAGGTCCAGGCTGAGATCAAGAGGAACTGGGGCAAGTGGCAGTCGTCCATGGAGAGCAACGTCTTCAACCTGGCGACCCAAGACTTCACGGCGTGACGAGGACGGCGTTTGGGGGAAATACCTCCTCGAGGACGGCGGTGGTGTTGCGGCTCCACGGGTGTGGTCGCAGAAAAGGATTTTGGAGGTTCTGGGTCTGGCGTCCTCAGAGGGTGGTGTGAAGGGCTGTGGAAAGGCTTGGCCTGCTCGGGTGCTGGCGGCTCTCATGGATCCATGACGGTGTCTCATCCGCCCAAAGCTCTCTTTGCAGTTTGGTCGGTGTTTTAGGCAAAGGGAAGAGAGCTTCTCCACCTTTTCTGCCCTGAGACTGGGTAGGAAACAAAAATACCATTTCACGAGGGACTTCTGGCATTTTTTATTTGGCACTGGAATGAGGACAGAAGCGGCCCCAGTGCTGAGGGTTTTTCCCCCTCCTTCCTTGGTTTACAAAACCATTTCCCATACGGGAAGATGCCTAGACACAGCCTCCAGGAGCCATTCCAGGGGTGGGAGAAGCAAAGACAGAGGCAGACAAAAACCAATAGCTCTCTACATGAGACCCCCGATAATCTCATGACCCAGATCCTCCCCCGATTTCCAAAACACTTCCCTTTCTCCCATGCCTCTTGCTTCAGCTGCTCGTGCTGCTGGGGAAGAGGGTCCATCACCCTTGCCATGCCAGCTCGGAGGGGCTCTGAAGCTCTCCCAGGGGCTTTGCACCGGCGGGACGGGATGGTTTGCAAGCAGTGGGGCTCACCCGTCTTCACTGGGGACTTGTTTTCCTGGGACCAGCGAGGTTTTCGCAAATAAAATCTTGTCGTGAAATCCAGCGTTGCTTTTTTGGAGGTTTGGTTTGCTTTACAAACCCAAGTAACTTGGTACCAGGCTTGCTAGAGGGTGGAAACCCTGCCAACATCTGTAATACCTGGAAATATTCCCCGGGGGAGAAATACCTGCTTTTTCTCTGCCTGGTGAAGCAGCCACACTCTGGGCATGGCCATGGAGAGGAGGTGGAGGAGGAAGGTGAGGAAGAGCACAAGGCGGGTGCATCACGGGCTGTCCCAGAGGTGCTGGGGTGCCGTGTCCCCTCCGGGTCGGAGCTGCCACCCCCACGCTGCAGCCCAGCCCCGTTCGCCCTCCCTGGGCTGAGCTCCTGCCTTGGCAAACGCTGTCGTCTCCAGGAGTGAGAAAAGCCTCGAACGCCCTTTCCCCAAACCTCCTGTCCCCTCCCGTGTTCCCCAGACCCCAGCCACCCGATCCCGGCGGAGCTGCTCACACTGCCTGGGTCGTAATTGCTCCGTGTAGTCGCATGTTCTTCCTTAAATAAAACCCACTTGTTGGCCCTTTTCCAGACTGCAGGATCTCCAGAGATCCCCTCTGGTCTCACAAAGAGGTGTTGAGAGGGACACAGAGCCCCAGACTTGATTTGAGGGGAGGTGGAAGATGCTTCGTTAAACAACCCCCCCGGGCCGGCAACATCCTGCGTCGCCGGCCAGGAAACCTTCAGAGGAGCATGGCAGCTGTTAAATAAATGCCTTCCTGCAGCCACGAGGAGACCACAGGTGAATAAACAACTCCATCATTAGTGAGGAAGACGCTCTTTTGGCAAGGATGTGATGCAGACAGCAGCAGCAGACTGGTCCGGGGCTGGGGATGCTCGGTGGGAACGTCACAGTTGCCATAAAGCTCTGATAATTACCGGATTTTGAGTGCATTTTCGGCTGCAAATGGGTCTTCCTGGGTGCTAAACCTGCACCCCAAATGACCCACTGGGGTTTGCTGAGCACCGACCCCATGTCCTCCACGGTGCGCGGCAGAGCCTGCAAAGGGCGCGGGAGGGCTGATGTGCCACCACCACGGGGGTTTTGCGTCACCTTCAGTCTGCAGAAAAGGTTTTCAAAAGGGCTTGCTCCACCTCCAGCGTGGACCGTGCCCGACAGCCGCGTTTTTGGGGTAGCCGAGCCCAGGCTCAGCAGGACCAGGTCTCATCCCCATCTCCCCCTCCAGCATGGCCCAGGGTACTGCAGTAGCCTGGCACCCCCATCGCCCGCCCCGGGGGTCCCGTGTCCTCCCCGAGGGCAGAGGGGTGTCCGGGAGAAGGGGGGTGTTTTGCCTGGAGCCGGTGGGTGGCACTGCGGCCCCGCAACGCCGGCC